ATGTTGATAGGTTTTGAAAGGACAGACTTATTATTCAAATGTCTATTTATTGCAAACATGCAACTATTAACTGAAGAAACATGATATTCAGAACCATCTTTTTTTCTCATTGCATGAACAAATCTACAAAGCTGATCCTCTAATTCTTCTTTTGTATCAACTTCCTCAATCAATCCTTGATAATTAATATCTGTTCTAAATTTTTCCAAAGCTCGTATCCAATTTGAAGTTGAATAATCAGTATTTTTACATCGGCTACTATCAATAAGATTGCGAAGCTCATCATCAGTAGGCTTTTTATAAGTAAAGTTCACCTTTAATTTCTTACAAGGTCGTTTATCTTTGTTATTTTGCATCTTTAAAATATTAATAAAAAGGTTTTGTGTAAAAAAGAGAGTCAGAAATGAAGAGAAATGAAATTGGATAAAGAAAAAAAATGATAAAAGCTTAATTTATGAGTTTAATTCGAGTTTAATAAAAGTTTAAATAAAACATCATAATGTCACATGATAATATCATTATTGTGCTTGCGTTGATAAATATACAATTATTAACCAATGCTGCATTCTGATTGGACAGATTTGGCCACTACGTGGCCAAATCCTTACCAATCATCTGCTAGCATTGGTTAATAATTGTAATATTAATCGCTACAAGCTAAGGATGGTCATCGGTCCTACCGGTCCTACTCGGTCCTGGACCGGTCGGTCCCAGGACTTGTAGGACCGGACCGCGGTCTTGCATTTTTTTGTGGCGCAGTAGGACCAGTCCCGAGGACCGACCAGTCTTCATATCGGTCTTCATATAATAAATGATTTTTATATTGAATAAATCTATTAATCTGATGAAGGTCTTTATAAAATAATATAAAGGCCGACCAATTCTAAACCAATAAACAATGACAATCACTTCTTCCCACTTGTAGAGTTGCCTGTCAAAACACCAACTCAAAAAAGCGTTTAAGCAGAATATCTCATCATCCAGTGATCATAAAACGATGAAACCACTACTATTCGAATTGTCTTAACGAGACGCATCGAACAGTGGCTAAATCATATTTCCAGGATCGATAGATAGCCGGCAATTATTAAATTTGTTAACAAATAGTTTTGCCGATGTCATTTTTTTTCTATCGATTATAAAATAATGATTTTGATACCATTCGACGTGTCTCATTGAGACGATTCGAATGGTGGTAGTTTCATATTTTTATAATCACTGGATGGCGAGATATCACGATTATTATCACCAATACAATAATAGTAAGTGCATGACGCATGTGATGATCATTTGTAAAAAAAAAATTTGTATATTTAAAAACATTCCCATATTTATAAAACAAGGCTATTCCTAATAAAGTTAAGGAAAAAAATTTTTTTATTTGTAAAAAAAAAAGAAAAAAGACTGATCGGTCTTAAAAAGACTGCGGTTCTTAAAAAGACCGACGGTCTTATTATATGTGATACAGGACCGAAAGACCGCGGTTCTACACTAAGACGGACTGGTCCGTCTTTTTATGGTGTAGGACCGTAGGACCGCGGTCTTTTAGGACCGATGACCATCTTTACTACAAGCACTATAATTTATAATTATTGTTATAACAATATCGAAATGATATCAATTTGATGTTTCGTCAATATCGTTATGATGTCGATTAGATAATTATAAAGTGATATCTTTATGATATCTATCATATTGATATTGAATTAATGTTAGAACGATATCATATTAATATTCCCATTTTTCAAAAAATTTATTGTTGTTATAACAATATCGAAATGATATCGATCTGATATTTTTTTAAAACAAATATCTTTACGACATCATGTCGATATATTGAATTAATATTGAAATGATATCATTGCGATATCATAATGATATTATTTGCAAATCAATATCATTACGATATATATTTAACATCATTACTATATCAATTCGGTATTGTTCAAAAATTTAAGGTTTCTGTAAAGTACTAGTATTTTGTTGATAGATAGACTATCTTGAAATCAAACTAACATAACAGTTGTAGTGATATTTGATTCAGTTGCAGACACCAGTTGCTTGGTTGGTAAATATTAGTCAGCTACTCAGCTTAGTAATACCTGTGGACTGCCAAGTTATATATGGTTCTGAAATATGAACTTTTTCTCAAGTCAAATAAGATAAGAAGTTTTTTTTATAAATATTTCTCTTATCATGAAAAATTTAGTAATTTTATTACAAAAATATTTTTTTTTTTAATATTTTTAATTATATATATATTAACTTTATAGTTTTACATATATTAATATAGTAATTATTAAATATATTACCTAAATAAAATTAATTATAAACTATCAAATAATTGATTTTATTTAATAATTTAGACAATTTAATATTTATTTATTACTTAATTTTATAATATATTTAATTTATTAAAAAATGTAAAATCAACAAAAGTTTTTTTGATAAATTATGTTATACTTGAAAAATTAGTACAAATTTATAGTTAAAATTTTATTTTGATTAGTTTTAATTTGATGTTAATACATGTAATTAAACAGGATCCCGCTTACTTA